GTTTTAATGCTATTTTTAATCATGATGTATTTGACTAAAAAATAGCAACACAATTTACATTACCATTTGTGAAAATAATAGCACAATGTAATATTAAAAATAGCATCATACATAATTAAAAATAGCATTAAATACGGTTCTCACACTAGAACTAGTTTTTATTTGAACTAGTCCCTATATATATATATACATTAAATTGAAATTAATTCGAAACAACGTAAATAAAACTATGACATTTTCTAATATAAATATTTATTTTTACTGAAAAAGTATGATGAATCAATTTGCCTAATGACATTCATCATATTTTCATGCATTATGAGTGATATATTGTGATATTAGGCCTTGGTTATCGTGTGATTGTGCACCATTTTGTTTGATTTATTAATCTATGATAGAGGTTTTTTTGTCGTTGTTTTTGCAGGAAATATGCCTGGAAAAGCGTTGAAAATGGAATCGGGACGAAAAACGGCGAAAACGGGTGCAGAAGAGGTCACACGACTCGTGTGGGTAGTGACACGGGTCGTGTGGGTTGAGAAAATAAGAAACGCAGCTACGGCTTTTTCACACGGGTCGTGTGGCCTCACACGACTCGTGTGACCCGGTCGTGTGACCAGTCGTGTGAGTCTGGAAGTTTGCCGAAACGTTGAGAAAAGTCACACGACTCGTGTGGCATGTGACACGACTCGTGTGACGCGCAGACTAGTTCAGCGGGGAATAGGATTCTTGTGCGATTTCTTTCCTTTTTCGACCCAGAATAGCCGTACAGTATAAAACAGACCTTAGGAACTCGTTTTTGGGACTTTTGACACCATTGGAGGCCTAGAGAAAGCACGAAACACACGAGGGATTCGAGGAAGTCAAGATTGAAGATTCGGGAACTAACGGCGACAATAGTTCTTCTTTCTTTTCTCTTTTTCTTCTTCATTGAACTCATGGATTTATTTATTTTGAGTTTTGAGAATATGTTTAGTAGCTAAACCTTTTAGATTCTAGGATTTGTTAGTACTCGGATTGATTTATGATTTAGTTTTTATTTCTTTCATTCCGATTTATCTTTCGTTTATGAATTTCTTGTGCTTATTTTTATTGTGTGAATAGATGGCCACTATGAATGCATATTTGTAATCGATTTGATGAGACCGAGAGGAGATAATTGATTGCTAGAATTGGGAGATTTATAACGTAACAGAATAAACAGACCGAGAGGTTGATAGGACCTTGCGAGAGAACGAAAATCCTAGGAACTTATGGGAGTTAGTTGTTCATCTTGAGACCGAGAGGAGATAGATAACAATTAATATCTACGATTTGACTTGTTCGAGAGAAAGGTTTGAAATCAATTTACCGATTATCTCTACGATTGATAAAATTAAATAAGGTTTGTTTGAATATAAACGTTTCATGAATTAATTTCGAGGAACGCTTAGCCTAGAATCTACCTTTTGTTTCTTTGTTTATTTTTATTTTTATTTTTAGTTAGATTAATTCTTAGTTTAATTTCTTAGTTAATAATCATCATCCAATTCATTAGTCTAGATAATATTTAGTCGTCATTATTTTAGTACTTAATTAAATTAACTACAATCTCTGTGGAATACGACCTTACTCGCTACTATCTATAGCTACTCTATACACTTGCGGATAGTGAAAATAATTAGCGAACACCTAATGATTAAACAATCCCTCGTAAAAAATTGTGTAGTGGATATTGTTTCCGCAATGAAAAAAGTATGTAAGAATTAACATAAAATGTTTCTTTGGTATATAAGTTATTTAAAATATAAAACTTTTTTAGTTACATATCCTAGGAAGGGAGGTTATGGGGAAGAATCCAACAGAGTAAAGAATAAATTTAGAATCATATAGCATCATGAAAGATGGGATCTGGCTAGGACAAGCTATCAGATGATAATTTTGTTTTTAACATAATTAATATTAATTTTTTTAAAATAATACCCACTTTTTAAGAAAGATAAATGGAGATAAGAATGAATATTGGTACTACCATGTGAGGGCCATTTTCTTAGGTTGAAAAAATATGAAATTTTGTTTCCACCATCCACCTCATAATTTCCTTTCAACAAGTTTTATGTAGTGTTATGTCTCCACTAAGTTGAGCCAAAATATTAACAATAATAATATTAAGATTAAAGTAATTAAGATTAGCACAATAATGAAACTGGGACCTAATTTATGAATTCAATTAATTTTTATATGGTTTGTTTTTTAACTATAGTTAATTTTAAAAAAATGTGGTATGGTTAGTTGTCAGTGGATATATTAAAATAATATCTAAATAAAATAATTAAAGTTGATTTGATGTAAAATAAGAAAAAAATGATTGGAAGTGATGATTATTTAAAATTATAATGTATATAAATAATTTAAGTTAATCTTGTAGTTTATTATGTATATAAATGAATTATTGCAGATATTAATAAAATTATTTAAGGAAACAATATTTTTTATTATATCTGATTTGATCCTATTTGAAAACATGTATATAGAAGCGATTAATGCATATATTTAAAAAGTTTTCCAAAAAAATATGTATTAAATGCTCTCATAAATTTTGACTGCTATTTTGTAGTAAATGATTATTCTCTTTATATATATATATATATATATATATTAAAGATGATTTTTCTAATAGAAGTATGAATATTTGCGAAGAATATGTCGGCCCAATCATTAGGCATGCCTTACACAAAACATAGCAATAANACCAGATCTGTTCCTTCTGCAGCCCCTTTATTTAAAAAAAGGAAAATGAGAGTAATTTCAAAGCTGGCATGATGTTACTCTTCCATTAGTTTCATACAACATTCCATACATAAACAAATAAAAACAAGAGATAAGAATCTAAGTTATTACATCCTTACTTCATGTGCGTTCCTACTTGGGAAACATAGTATTGCCATCACAAAGCACGAGCTACGAATTGTTTTCAAAATCAAGATTCTAACTCTGAGTTTGTATTGAAATGTGACATGAGAGAGTTTAATCTGTTGGCATTTCCCTCCAATGGCAGAAGCCCATCATCACTAGAACCTTCTTCTTCATCTTGATGGGATGAGATGTGGATCTGAAAACCTCGGGCCTGCATATTGGGGCCCGTCTTAGAAAACAGATTAATTATTTAGAAAATCAAGACCATTAATGATACTTGAGAGAGCTGGATTACTAAAATAATGGGTTAATTACAAAAAAAATTAAAATGAACAGATACCCGGTTTAGCATTGGTACAAAATACCTTCTTTAAGAGTTTCCATCTCATCCTCAATTGCCCTCTTGAGATTTTTCCTTCCTCCTTTCATGTTTTCTTGACATTTCTTCAAATTCACTCTGTTCACATGCAAAACAGTACCATAATTAAGTTATTATAGAATCAAATTTGAAAAGGTTATTCAAAAAATGTTAAAAAGGTTTCATTTTTGGTACCCAAAAAAACCAATTACCCACCTTCAGCAACTTTCATGTTTAGCAATTAGCACACAATCTTAAAAAAAATCATCTAAGATGATATCCAACCATTATCACACGTTAGGACCAACTACACGAGCTAGGGTTTCACTGCACTTTAATTCATCTTCCCCATGTAATGAAATGACATTTATTTACCAAACAAAATATTAGAAATCACTAGAGAAAAATCATGTCAGATGAATGAACCTCCAACTTATTTCAACAAATTTATAACATCCAACACAATGTCATTATTATCACTCAAAACCACTAGACCACTTGACCAAATCTATGTAAGTCGAGAACAAACACATCAACATATTCAAATTGATCACAAGACATACATATCCAAAACAAATTCAGGCTGATTGCATATCAATCGCATATCCAATTCAAATTAAGAGTCCAAGATACAATCCTCACGAATATGAAATCATGTCATTGCAGATTTAAGATGTACTCTCATGACATAATTCGTTTTTCCTTGTTGAACAACACAATGTTTTCATTTGAAAAAAAAAAAAAAGGTTTCTCGTCAAGTACAGAATTTTCATTACGCTTTTACCCACTTGAAAATAGCATGGCATGCGAACAACTATCAAGTTGGTTCCTCAAGAAATGAAAAGATAACATGCAGAACTAAAACTCTTATGAAAACTCAGAGAGACGAGCGTGTTCAATTCAAAGGGTGAAAACCACCTCCAAACAGAACAACACTGTCACTGAAAAACTGGATAGATCACTTATAATTCTTTTAAATTTAATTAATACATTATCATAAAATAAATGGAGCTATGGCATATNCTAAACTATCCCAAAGATATTAAAGAATAATAACAAAAATTAAACTTCTGGCCCAGGACATAAAATTTATAGCTGAACAACATTTAATAAGAGTCCCCTAATCCCATTGCCTCTCAATTTATAGTTTCATACCATTATTAAGAAAAATAAGTAAATTTGTTCCAATGAAATTCGGATTTACTCGTGGAGGCAAATTGGGCTCGACGATTAGAGTGTAAGAACTCACCTACGGAGCTTCGACAGTGACACCAAGGTCGTCGTGCCGGCTGATCGGAGACGAACCGTGGACTGGGTGCCGGAGGAGTGGTTGATAATTTATGTTCTTCCTTCTTCACTTTTTTTTCGTCTTTTTTCGATTGCCTTTTTTTTTTGGTAAATTATTTTTTCCCATCCATCGCGATTTTTGCGCTTTACCACATCAACTATTTTTTTTAACAAACAACCATACAAACTTCATGTTTTTTTCATTTTGCCCCCTAAACAGGATATAAAGTGGTTTTGACCGAAAAAAGTTGATTTTCGAGGACATTTTAGGAATTTTACATATATTTTGTTTTTTAAAAATATAGCGAATAGAAAACGTGCTTTTGTATGAGAAAGTCATGTAGCCTGCTTACTTCATGTGTGAACTGTGATCCCTCCTCAATTTTTGAGAGCTTGTACATCATGGATTCTTCGTCGCCTGCCTCTCTGACGACAATCGATCATTTTCTTGGCTGGCTCTTAGATGCTCGACATCTCAAACAACGTCAACCACGGTCCCACTGGGCCCTCCTTCGCCTTTTTCATGGCCGTCGAAAACGTACTCGGCTACGCTGCTGGCATCCTCCATCGCCGCCTCTCATTTGCGGTGGCAACCGACGCGTGCACACACCAAGGCGTGCTTCAACATGTGATTTCTTATGAGTGTTTTTATAGGTATCCTTCTTCCGTTTTTGTTGGGGACACATATATTTACTTTGCTGGGATAACAATGACATCATTTCATTAGAACAAACATTGCTCTAGAAATTTATTTTTGCTACCCAAATAAAAAGCCAGTTTTCTCAAAATCACAAATACCCTGAAGGGTTATTTACCATTTGAAAGAGCTTCTTTTCTTTCTTTTCTATCAAATTATGTTAAATTTAGAGGTAACAAACAAAATTTAGGACCCATCAGTCAGGATATTAGAAACATGAGATCCTATAGTCTGATTCAATGCACTGAATGTACTGTGGGGTGGTTATTAAGAGGAGAGAAAAAATGTTTGTTCATGCTTTTATTTGCGTTTTTTCTCCGAGTTTTTTTTTTTTAATATACATGCATTTATATATTTTTATTCCAGTTATAAAAGGCTGTCCAGTTTCTAACTAAAATCTATTACAACCTATGATTCTTTTTCAGTAAAACACTTCTGATATTCTTTGCTCCACAAGTTCTCAACTTTCTCCTTTCATTGTCCCAGGCTCTCTCTCTCTCTCTCAAGGGACGCGATGATGGCGAGCATGTTGAGCTGCCAGAAATTGAGGAGGCTCCGGAGGGATGCCGGCTATTCTGCGGTGGTGCTGCTGCTATCCTGTTCGGTGCGGTATGAATTTAAGAATTTGATAGAAAAAAAGGAAGAAGATGGAAGTTTATTTGACGGCTATGAAGATGGCGAAGGAGGGCCCAAGTGAAGATGGATGTTTTTTTTACGGCCATGAAGATGGAAGTTCAAGAACTTGACGGAGAAGAAAATTATGAAGAAGATGGCCCTCTTTTTGTCAAAATCAGTTCATTTTTCTTTTTATTTTTTTTAAAAAAAACAAATATACGAAATTTCTAAAACACCCTTATAAAACAACTGTTTTTTTACAAAAACCGCTTTAATCCTAGTTTCAGATGGTAAAGTGACAAACCCACATAATTTAGATAGTGGTTTGTGATAAAAAAAAAGTTTATATGGTGATACGCCAAAATCGCAATAGTTCAGATGGGTATAAGTTTTTTTTTCTTTTTTTTTTTATTATTTTTTTTTAGTACGATTTATTCAAGGCACTTCACCATAATACTAGTTTATTTATGCAAATAATTGCAAGGGGATTGTCTGGGAGGTAATAAGAGTTGTTTGTTTATGGAAATTCTTTGTTTTGTATCCGACAATTAATTGATGAGTGGGCTTAGAGCTCTTGCTCCTTGGGCCGAATTTTGAGGCCAAATTCCAATAAATCCTCGGACTTATATTGGGCTATTAGTAAGGCCAGCGGCTATATGAACTCCCATCAAGGTCTTTCTCATCCATAAAAATACTCAATATCCTAAAAATAAAACATAAAAATATTAAAGCATTAGAATTTATTCAAATAAATAAACAAGTTAAAAAATATATAAGTGAGATAAAATTAAACATAAAAATACGCTAATAAATATATAAAATATACACTTTTTTTGATAAATCAAGACGTCTCACACAATCTTCGGTCAACCAAGAGTATTAAAGGACAAAAGAGTCAAAAATAGGTTCCTCAAACAATTTGTGCTATACTATTGGCTTGCCTCAATAATTCTTTCAATATACTCCTTATCGTCCTCCACCAGACCCAGAGCAACACGCGTCGCGATACGAATCGTAGGACACCATTCAACTTCATATAGGCACGATGGCAAGTTGCTTCTCGAAGTACAAATACGTTATACGATGTCCTTCTTTCCTAGGGTCCCAGCTATTCAGATTCGAGTGCCACGTAAACGTTAGAAAAGTAAATTTTTGGTTAGAAATTTGACTGTGGGTGTCAACAATCCATTATATAAATTAATATTTTATTACTTTTATATAATATTAATTTTATTATTATATTTTCATATAAATAGAAAAAATTCTATTTATATAAAAATATTACTTTTGTTAAAGTTTTTTATTATACAATTTATGTTGAAGTTTTTAGTCAAATAAGACCGCAACTCGTCAGGTCCAATGATTATACAATCATATTTTATTAGCAGCTAACAAACATTCATACTTTCAAATTGATATTCATACTCTAAAAACAAACAACAATAACACAACATGATTCTATGGTCATATTTTGTTAACAAATATTCATATTTTCAAATTGATATTCATACTCTAAAAACAAACAAACATACTTTCCATACTTCTCATATATTTTGTTAACAAATATTCATGCTTTCAAACTGATATTCATATTTTATTATACATTTTTTTTTAACTATAATAAATATTTTCAAATAAAATATCATAATCTAAAAATATATAATATTTTATAATATAAATAATTTGTTTACACATTATCCCATAAAAAAACTTAATTTTCACCTCACAATCACAAAATTATATGCGATTTAAAAATAGCAATCCAAATGAACTGCATAATTAACGATTATGAGAGATAATGTCGCACATATACAAACGCATATCCATATCCAAATAAACCGCATAATTAACAATTATGCGAGATATTGTCGCATATATATACCAACAGATATCTAAGGATAGTTAAATATTATGCAAAATACTTCCGCATATGTTGTTATCGCATTCTACCACATAATTTTATGATATGCGAAACTATTTTTCATATATAATTATCAGATATTCAAAATTGATAATCGCATATGTTACTATTCTGCGACGTGTTTTCGCATAGTTTACGTCTCACATATCCATATCCATAGTATAATATACCATATGTAATAATGTTTCTCATAATCTGTTATCGCATATTCAAATTAGACCTCGTATATTCTATGTTATGCGACTACTGTTGTTAAATTAAACGAGCCTGGCTCGGCTCGAAAAGAGAATTTTTATATAATTTTTTATAGTTCGGCTCGTTAAGGCTCGAGCTTGAGCTCGAGCAACCTAAGCTCGAAATCGACTCGGCTCATTTACAGCCCTACATGCGACATGTTTTCCCATAGTTTACGACTCGCATATCCAAATTCACTGTACAGTTTACCATATGCGATAACATTTCGCATAGTCTGTTATCGCATATCCAAATTGAACGTCGTATATTTTATGTTGTGCGACATATTTTCGCATAGTTTATGACACGCATATCCAAATCTATAACGCAGCATAATTTACCATATGCGAGAACTTTTCGCATATTCAAGAATCGCATATCCAAATTGAACGTCGCATATTTTATGATTATGCGACAAATGTTTGCATAGTTTACGATTCGCATACCCAAATGTATATCGCAGTATAATTAATGGTTATGCGTAATATGTTCGCATATTCAAGAATCACACATCCAAATCAAAAGCCGCATAATATGGAACTATCTGCCATTTTTTCGTTAATCCATATCATGAATTGCATATCCGAAGAAAATGTTTTGCATAGCTCATGCACCGCATTGATTGTTTGTTTTTTCATGTAAAAAACTTAGACAAATGACATGTACCTACTTATTTGTCAATGTCAATGTATATATAACGCAATTATTACTATTCATGAATTGTAAGACCTAATTGCTAATCTTTCACTTGTCGAAACCAATAACAAATAGAAAGTCCTAGAAAGATAAAACCCTTATATTTCATTCACATCTCAATTGTTTCAAAGTAAAAGCTGCTCTTGCATTTTTAAAATTTTTTTTAATAGTAAGTCAAATCATTTATTTTATTAGTCGAACATACTAAAAAAGTATTTTTTTTCAACAACCTTTTTCTACATTTTTTATTTTAAATATCGTTATGTATATAAAAATTTTATTTACAAATAATTACCATTAAAATGAGACAGTTATCAAATCTTTTCCTTTCTGTACTTTAGTCATTAGTTTTCTCTACTAATACTTCAATTATTATTTTCATATAATTTTAGAATATGTATATAATTGAAAAATAGTATAAACTAACAAATAATTATTGATGGTATATCTATTCTAAAAAATTGCTCTAGAGAGATAAAATTGCTCTATCAATGGATTACTTGAGTATTGATCATAACAACCATTTAGTTTCAATTCAATTATATTGAATGATAGGTTAAATTTATATTATTTGACACAATTCATTATGTAATATAATTCTTTTTATGATTAACTAATAATAACAATGCAAAAATTGAACGAACACATAAACATAATTTGAAATCATAAAAGCATATATATTAACCATGTATCACGTAGATCGCACGTACAATTTACTAATAAAAGAAAAATTCTCTATGTTCTAACTAGTCACTTCATATTTTTCTAATAAATGTAATAAAGAAAAATTCTCTCGTTCTTTTGTATTTTTTTTTTTTGAGTGTGGTGTAAAAAATGCAGTACATTTTTCAGAAATAACTACAGTCCGATTACGAATAATTCCGTGAATATTTTTGACTATTAGATACACATAGATAAAAGTAAATTAAATAATTTACAATTAAAAACACTGATCCAATGATTTAATTCCTTAGCATATAGTATTTGACAATTCGACACGCTCACCACTTTCTTGAAACTTCGGTTTTCCCTTTCCCACATTCTACGTTTATATATACCCACTCCCATTTACCTTCATTTCATAGCAGCTCACACACTTTTTTTCTAACAGACCAACTTTCACTCAGCAAGAAAAATTTTTCCTTGCGAATTTCTGAAGAAAATTAATGGAGAACGCAAACCAATCGTCTTTCTGGCAGTTTAGCGACAATCTCCGCCTCCAGACCAGCAGCTTCGCCAACCTGTCCCTCAACGATTCCATCTGGAGCACTAACTACGCCGCCAAGCGCCCGGCGGAGCAGCGCCGGAACTTCGATTTCCGGAACCCCGGAGCGGACGCCGGCTCCAATTTCGCCGACCCGAAGCTCGATTTCAACAACCTAGGGTTTAATAACGACGCCTGGAAGGCTCCGATCAACGACAGCCTGAGCGGCTCCAAGGTTAATTACTCCGGGTTCGAACCTGGGGCGAACGGCGGTTTCAACAAGGGGATCTACTCCTCAGCTTCTTCGAATTTCAACAGCTACAGCAAGGGGAAGGGTTTTGCTAACAGCATCGTGGTGAATGGGAAGGTGATTAATAAGGGCGGTAAAAATGAGGAGGTGAATGGGGGTAAGCATGGGAAGAAGAATAAAGGCAGCAAGGAGAGCAATAATAACGGAAATGGTGAGAATAAGAGTGCCGTGGATAAGAGGTTTAAGACCCTGCCGCCGGCTGAGGCCTTGCCGAGGAATGAGACAATTGGTGGCTATATCTTCGTCTGCAATAATGATACTATGGCTGAAAACCTCAAGAGGCAGCTTTTTGGTATGTGGATCTTTCTATTTCATCCTAGTTTATGAGAATCCTTTGTTATTAGTTGATTGCAAGCAACTTCATATAGAGCATGATGATAAAACAAGACTATGGCGAAAGAATATGTGTAAATTACAATATCACTGTTATTTTTTGAATTAGTTTGTAGAAAGTTGTTTATCTTGGTTTGCTTATTATATATAAAGGTTTTATTTTCCAGGTGTTTCTAACTTGGTTGTACAATCCAAAATTGCAGGCTTGCCCCCTCGTTACCGTGACTCTGTTCGTTCAATAACTCCCGGCTTACCGCTCTTTCTTTACAACTACTCAACTCATCAGCTCCATGGGATTTTTGAGGTATGTATTAAAAATAATCACGTAATTGATATTATTTCCCTTCTAAAAGTCAATTCAGAAGGTTACTTTCAGAGTCAGTTAATCTAGAATATGGATACCTATGCAGTATTTTGCCATATTGAGCTCTTGAAACTATGACGGCTATAAACATCTCTAGTTGAGTTGAATGGAACTAGAATATATATGTGTCGAATCAAGTAAAAAAAAAAAAAAGGTATGCGTGTTAATGGAAAAATTTAACATATATCGTTTGTATTCTTCCAGGCTGCGAGTTTTGGAGGGACTAATATCGATCCATCAGCTTGGGAGGACAAGAAAAACCCGGGTGAATCTCGTTTTCCTGCTCAGGTGTGTAATTTTAGAGAGACTGCAGAAGATGATGGTCATTTTAGTGTTTTGGATTTATGTTTTGTATCTTTTTTTATGAGAACTAAACCTAATTTTGTTCTGCGTGAAGGTTCGTGTTGTGACTAGGAAGATATGTGAGCCATTGGAAGAAGACTCGTTCAGGCCAATTCTTCACCATTATGATGGCCCCAAGTTCCGTCTCGAGTTGAACATCCCTGAGGTAAAATTGGTTGACTGAAAAAAGTAGATAAATTGCAAATGTCACCACAACCTCCCTTTTAGTTTTGCATTTGCACAACAAAAATTATTCATAATTTGAAATGCGGATGAATTGATGGGTGAAATCTTTTGTTGTAGATCAAATTTCACGAGTATGTTTGTTTTTATTGAATATTACCTAATGCTATGGTGTTTATGGTTCGGTAACAAAAGGTCCTCTCACTCTTGGACATCTTTGAAGAGAACAAAGCTTGAGCATCATCTAGTTTGAAAATCAAACACAAACACACAAAATAAAATGAAGAAACGAAAAGGGAAGCTACGAATTGAAGCGTGGCTTGTAAGTCATAAGCTATATGGAGGTAAATTGAGAGCCGGGTGATTGTAGATATATAATATATACAGATAATTTATTTTTTATGTAATGTAAGGTGGAGTTTATGCTCCCCTTGTTGTAATATGAGCATGATGAAGGTATCATCAGCATTATATATATTTACAGGCAAAAAAGACGAGAGATTAAACTATCTTATGGTGAATGTATTGTATTGTTTTAGTTTTGTTCTTTGTAATCCTAAATTCTCAGTTGATGATAAATATCGTCTATAATTACTGGCAAAGGACGGAGACATTATTGTTTAATGATAAATTGCTCTGTCTCACCATTACTTTCTCTTGAATTCTCTAAATTTCTGTTGCTTCAAACATCTTTAAACGTTCGCACTGGATTTGCTAAATAATTGAATGGATTTTCCCTCGTTTATTTAAGATTTCTTCAAAATTTAGTAATATATCTATTGTTTAAAAAAGAAAAAAAAAATTACTCCGTATTACATATTACTATAATAAAGCCGTAAGTCCACCGAGAATAATGTTAGTTGAAGTATATTGATTGAATAAAATAAAGGCACAGGCAATCATGTGACTTGTAAGTTCCCTTGCCACTTGTTAATCAATGTTGAATTTATTGTTGGTTGAACTTAGGTGAACTGCAACCTTATCATCAATTAAATAATTATATTTTACCGTTTCCTTCACGGGATGACTCTTTCAAAGTAAATTATTAACGGCGGTGATTGGTTGGTGTTAACTTTATATCACCTATTATTGCAACTTTATTTAGGAGTTGCTGCAAACATAAACCTAAAAGTGCAGCGTAGTTACATTCAATCTATCTTTCTAAAAATCAAATTTTGCAATTTTATAGTTATATTTAACGATTTTGTTATGGAGTCATCAAATGTTACGAATTATAAAACAATCTACAATTATTTACAGACAATATATTAACACATGTAACTATAAATACACTTTAAATAGATGTCAGTGTATCAAGTTAATATAACCAATCNTTTTTTCTGTTATGTTGAAACTTGTGATCGAAAATTTGAGAAGGGTTTGGATTATTGATCTCACCACTAATATGCAGGATCAGTATCATTTTTCTAGTAAGAACTGATATTATGCATTCAATTATAGGTATAATTGCTAATGACATGTTCTGTTCTACAAATACAACCAAACTTTTTAATATTGATGTACCCAAAAAATTTTTTTTTTTTGACAATAATATATTTGTCATTTTGTGATATCTTCTGAGTTTTGACTAGCGTTCTTTGTTCACTTAACGAGTCTTCAATGATATTTTCAGAAATACTATTAAAATATAAACAATATATCAATTCATAAATGAAGCTACTGAGGCGGTTAGAAAGGTTCATGGAAAAATGTAACATATATTCTTCTTTGTTACAAATGAACAACGTTGTTTATGCGGTTGAAAACTGAATAAAACTATAATTTATATGTATATATACAATATTAATTTGAAAATTGGTATTATGCATCCAGTTATATAGGTTTATTATTAGACTGACTTGAGCGAATATTGCAAACTGCTGTTCATATTATCAAAATAAAAGGTTATATGAAAATAGTTATTCACATTATTTTGATCAAAAACATTTTATGGCCTTAATTTTTGAAAGTATATTAAAGAAAAGTTCAACAAAATACATAAAATTAAGAATTATGTGAAGTGGTGCTACCCGTTGGTTTTGCCTTACCCGTCCGATGTTATATTCACCACATTGAAGTATCTATTAAGACCAAGTCCAACCGATACTCAAACTCATACCCAAACGCATAAAAGTGCTCCAACCGATACCAAAACAGAGACGCAAATTGCGTTTTTGCTCAATTTCTCACTCTTCTGGACGCATATTTGCGTATTACTGTTCACAAATGCATTTATTTTTAAAAATTGCAAAGTAACCCCTTAACAAAATAGCATATAGCTTACATATTTTGATTTTGTATATAATTTCGAACTTAATGATTTATTAACATAAAATTAAATTAAAGAACATAAGAAATCCTGTTACTGGTAAACTACTTTGTTTAAATTTTTTAACTCACAGATAATAATACCAGTAAGGAAGTAAACGTAAATTAAAAATATAATAATATCTTAGTATACAATAGCCTACACTAATGAAATAATAGTATATAATTCGTTTACAGATATAATATAATAAAAATAAACATGAAATTAAAAATATAATATCAGTAAATATAAAATTAAAAATATAATATACATGAAATTAAAAATATAATAATATCTAAGTGAACACTATTAGCCTATACTAATGAAATAAAAAATATATAAATTTTACACATAGAGAATAATACCAATAAACATGTAATTAAAAATATAATAATATCTAAGTAAGCCTTATTAGCCTACATTATTAGTAATATGGTGCTGAAATGAAATACAACATCACACAATCACGATAATAAAATTTTTAATTTTATCCTGTGTGTTGTAATTTTTAAATTTTGATTTTTAATGAGCATTTATTTCTTCGATTTTATTATGTATATGATTATAACTATATAATTAATTTTATTACATAAAGTCTAAATTGAGTTTAAGATAGTAGTGTGGTTTAATTTGTAAAGTTGTAAAATATGTGGGTAGTATTGAAAAATTATAAAAGTTGATGTAAAAGAGAATATTCCGAGAATATTCTTTTGGGTTTGATAATGAGTTTTTCGGTTGTAGTTAAATTCCTGCAAAATGGGACAGTTACTGCAAAATGAGTTTGAGTATGAATTTTTCGGTTGGAGATGACCTAAAACATGAAAAAGAGATTCTAACTACTGCTTAATGGGATGCTAAAAATAATTGAAATCCCATGAATTCTGAAAAAGATGTTCCACCAGTTGTGTTTGCATCCATACACGTGTCCAAGCACCGAATATTGTTAGTGGCTCAGAAAATATTTACCCTTTCGCGGTGGTTCGTATTTTCTCGTCTTTCCTTCTCTACTCTAAATTAAGGACAACCTTTTTTTGACATGAGATGAGAATCAGTAAGATAAATAATTGTTTTATTTTAGCTGATCTTGCTCGTTTAACCTAACTCGTTTTGCAGATGATTTTTTAAGTTTCAGTTAAGGAAAAAATGTCATTGTAAGGTATTAATATTTATTCTCATTCATTTAATCATCAACTACACTTTCTCATCCACATCATATATACATTATATTTTCATTAAATATCTCTCCATTTAAATATTCTTCTACATTTGTTAAATCATTTAAATGCAAATATATGAGACTCATTATCTACCAATTATTATTCTTATATTCTATTCTTAATAAAAATAAATATATAATTTTTAAAAAAGTAGAATAATTATTTTTGAATGCGCGAAAATACAAATAACATTATCTGATAATAGAACTAAAATTAAGATTACAAATTAAAAATAATAGAACATTTTCTTTTTTTAATTGGTAGCAAAATGATATGCTCAACTAAGTTTGCATGAAGATGGTGATGCACTGCATTATCTCGTACCTCTGAAGTTCTACAAATATAATCTTGAAATTCTCGATTTGAACCCTGTACGGGTTGTGCGGGGTCTTGATCGTCGTCATTGTACAAATGTGCTACTCCTCCTTCTTCAACAATCATATATTATGTAGAATAATACATGCCAACGTAATAACTTTAAGTTTTCTTCTCTACCAAGACCAAGAAGGACCTATCATAATTTCTCATCGAGACTGGAGCACCCAAATGCTCTTTCCACATCTTTTCGAGCATATTTCTACTTTTCTATCTTTAAGTAACTTTCTTTTAGGATCCGATGAATAAGAAAAAAATTTACGAACGTAGTCCATTCGAGATATATTCTATCTGTCAGATAATATCCCTTTGTATATTGTGTGCCATTGACAATGAATTTGACATTTGATGCATTTCCTTGCAGTACATTGTTAAATAAAGGAGATCCATATGATAAATTGACATCATTACTTGATCCTGCAACACCAAAAAGTGCATGCCATATCCATAATGTTGGATTCGTTATACCGCACGGGGTAAAACGAAGCGAAAATTAGACAAAATAAATAAGCAATTATCGAATAAATACTAACCCTGTCGGTTCACGTAGAGATTGTAACAGTCGACATCTTTTAAAATCAAGTAAAAGTACGAATTTTGATTTGTAGGTAATTTCAAAAATTATATTTAATTTTCTTCAAATAGCGACGATGAAGAGGGAATCGATTCCCGGTTATGTGGCTATCACCGTCTTCGTACATCTCGCTATAGGGATCCACGTGTCTCCCCTTTAAGCAAGTCCACCTGTGGATTCCAACACCGATATAACCTTCTTTGCTAGTAGAATTTATCCTGTGAATCAATTGATATGAGGAATCAATTAAGAGAGGAGAAATTTTTCTTTTTTAAAAAAAAAAACAATTATCGAGAGCATCTGATGCCTCTCGCAATTATAATGGGAGACTTGGTGTGTAATTCTAATCAAAGTGGCAGCTGACCTAGCTCCACTTGATTATTTATTTAATAAATTCTTTAATCTATATATATATATATATATATAATAAGAATAACTATTTATCAAAAATAGTTAGCTTAAAATTTGACATGCTTAAACAACCGGATGGTCCTCTGCTAGTCGTCTGGCGCAATGTCGTGTCCCCTGCTGGCCGTGGTCGCCGGCGAGATCAGCACTCCAATTAGAGTCGCCCCCCATGCTGGTCGTCGGCGTCAACGTGAAAGTGCGTTGATGTGGCCGATGACGGCAACGGATGGAGGGTACAGTGGTCTGTGGACGATTTCTGGCGGCGGATTTCATGGCGGTGGTCGGACATCAATTCTCCGACGTCCTCGCCATCGCCAATAGCGATGATTTTGCAGTTGTCCGGAATGTTGTGGAGGTCGCCGGTGGGAGTGTGTAGGTGGCAACCGGCGGTGTGAATCTGTGCGTGTGTGTGTGTGTGAGAGTAGTGTGTGTGCAGAGGTGTGAATCTGTGTATGTGTGTGTGTTTTGTTTGTGTTTGTGTGTGTGTGTTGTGTATTAAACATGTGTGTGCGCGTGTGTTATGTGTGAGAATTAGGTGATGTGCCATGTGAGATGGATGATGATGTGTAATGGTAATGACTAAAATACCCTTAATGAAGGTATAATTTTAGTTTTTGTTTAGCCGTTAGATCATGTGATCTAAATGACCACGATTTATTCTCATTTCTTTCACTGAGAACCATTCCCATGTGAACCCAACTCTATATATATAAATAACGGGAAAAATTTAAAACTAGTCCCACAGGAATACGGGGTGACAATTTTGGTCCCGACGGAATGCAGAAAATATGAACAGCTTTTAAAAAAATGATCAAAAGTAGGACTTTTTGAGCCGGATTTACTATTTCCGGCCCGAAACGCCACATCGCGCACATGTGGCTTATTTTTTTACAAGCCGGATTTATTTTGTATATAGTGAAAATAAATATAAAATATGGTATTTAATCTTGATTTCTAGGCCCAACCTAGGTGCTCTAGGCGCTAGGCGCTGATCGAACGCCTAGCGTCTTCTAAAACACTGAAAACAAGGAATCAGTTGATAATGTGAAAATAGAACAGTCAACCACTGATTGTTTAAAGCCAATATATAAATGGCTTTTTATTTTTGTTATTTCATCAACACTGTTTCCACAAAGAATGATGTCATCAACATAGACTAGTAAGGTAGAAACGGGGAATCAGTTGATAATATAAAAAGAGAACAGTCAGCCACTGATTGTGTAAAACCATAATATTGACATAAAAGAGAATAGTTGATATTGTTTAAAGCCATAATGTAAAAAGAGAACAGTCAATTGTTTTCCAACACTATTATTACTAGATTTTAAATTTCTGGTAAAAGTCAATATTCAAGTCAAATACATTAATTGAAACATATCTTTTTAATTATCTTGAGACAATCATAACATTACCAATTGTTTTCATAGGCAATCATTACAATTTATTTGGTAGTTGAGTTTTTGACTAAAGTCAATTTCCAAATCTAATATAGTAATTGAAATAAATCTTTGGCGTTCTTCAATTGTATGTATAAATCTTCGGTGTGCTTCAATTGAAAGAAATCTTTGGCGTGCTTAAATTAATATAGAAATTTGTCATGCTTACAATTTTTGACATAAAATCATAAATTTTCAACAAGGACCAGCACGCCAAGTTGGTCCAAAGTCGGAATCGATCCGGATGGGTCTTTTGAATTGAGTGTCAACATACCTAGTCAACTTGGGAATCGACCCGACCGAGTCAACCCAGTCACAATAATTATTTATTTATTTTCTTAAAATACCTATTTATTTAAAAAATAAAATTATATATGTGATATATATATGACAATATTAATTATGAGATGCAATATTAATAACACTTTGATGTATCAAAATTAATATATAAACTATTTATTTATGTTATTTTTATGTATATTTATATGATAAAACGATGTAATTTTAAAATTTTCGTTTATGTTACTTTTATGTATTATTGATTGACGGTTTGCACTTTTGTGTTAATGAAATTGCACCTTAGCATAACAAATGCACAGTCATGTTAATTAGATGAATAATATAAAATACTAAATACAAAAATTATAAATACTAAATCTATTTTTGCGATATAAAAAAATGATTAATGCAAAAAATAATGATAATTGAAATACACATTGTTAAAGTTTATAAATTTGAAACACATAAAAAATACTCGATCGCTTGATTGCTGATTGCACAATAATGCTAGACGAATTGCACATTATTGTCTGCTCGATTGCACTTTATAGATTTTGATATTTTTTATATTATATTTTCAACTATAAATATTATAAATTATTAAATATAAATATTAAAATATAAAATGTATTTTATAATATACATAGTAAGATAAAAATATTTTGTAATAACAAATAAATTATAATAAAAATAATAAATAAAAGCTATTTTAATTATTTAGGTTAATTTAATGTACAATTATATGCATAATTTATAAATTAGATATTGCACTTTATACTACTGAATGTCGCACCTTATAAAACAATACGTTGCTCTTTATCACAGTATATATCTAAAAAAATACAAACATGTTATCGTACCAAAAATAATGTTGCACTTTATACGGTAATACGTTGCACCTAGTAACACAACATGTCGCACCATATACTGTAATATGTTGCAATATAGCGATCAAAACAGTCAAAATTAAAATTCTCAATTAATTACAAATATTACCCATGAAACTAAAATTTTTTACAATTACAGCTAGGCCCTTATATGATATCAAATTTTCAATACAACAAGCTCAAATACACCAACATTTTTCGGCCGCCAGCCTGCCGTTCAAGCCGCCGTCGCCGGCAACTACGAACAGCCTGCCGTCGAATGACACGTCATCACTTCTCCGCTCCAATGTTACACCAATGGAAGAATTGCACAAGTCCCGTCGGCTACTCATTCTCGGCAGACGTTCTCGAATCGTGGCCACCTGACGGCAGCCGGTTGATCAACGACAGACTTAACTGCCTGATGCGATTGAACGTGAGAGACGGTGGATCTGTGTCGGGCTGTTGAGGACCGGTTGTGAGGGAGATGCCATCACTGGCAGATCTGTGATGTGTTGTTGGGGACCGGTCGTGGCGGAGACGATGTCTCCGGCGGTTCTATGCCGTGATGTTGGGGACCTGGCGACGAGAGGACGAGGGCCAGTGATGGCGGTGGAAATCCAACGCGATTTTTCGGCGAGAGGTTGCTTTAGTAACAGAGAGATGAGGAACGATGTGGTTTTGTCCGGCGGAGGTCAGTGATGTCGGGTGGCTAATTGTTTGCTGCACGGCGGCGATTGTGGCGCCGAGCTGGCGGTCCGGCGAGTGAGTGTGTGTGTTGAAGATGATGAGGGAGGGGGTAAGTGTGATGGCACGATTTTATGTGGTGTTATTAATGTGTGTAGTGGTAGGTCCCACTAGTTGGTTAGTTTGAATTAAATGTCTAAATTACCCTTAATTATTGGTGAAATACACATATTTGACCACCATATGATCCAATAATTACCAGATTGCCATTAATGATTGACCAAGTTTGACTTCATCATAACCATTGATATGATTAATCACATGGTCCAGACTGATTCTTATTTCTTTCACTATCTCCTTTTCTCGTATGATTCATTCTCTCTTTCTCTCTCTCTCTATATATATATATATATATATATATATATATAACATTTCAACAAAAATAATTATATAATTAAAAATGAATGTCATCATTCTTAATTTAAAAAACTCACTATGGCATGGAAATTTTCCAATACGGCATGGCATGGCAAGACTTTCTAATGGCATGGAAATATTTCTAATGGGAAAGACTTGTGTTGGTAACTTTTTTGAAGGATGCACACAGTATGGTATGGAAATATTTCTATATAAACCAAGTATACCAAACGCAAAATTCATTCATTGGGCAAAGAAAATCGAGTCACTGGTTTTAGTCATATGGCGGTTCTACAAAGTTTTATTTTGTCCTCATTTAAGATTCTATTTTACTCGTCTATTTTGTTAATGTTATTTTCAAGTTCTTCAAATGGAACTCGGGCTTCACAAACTCAGTTCCATACTATGGATGATATTACGTCCCAGCTCTCGGCTACGGAGTGCAGTTCAGCCATCCCTCTTGGTATCATATTTTTTTTCATTTTCAGTTATTTATCGTATACGAGTGTAGAAATTCAGTTAATATAGAATGATCTCAAAACTAAATTTAACATAGTTGTTAATTAGAGAAAAAAAAAAATGAAAAAGTCTTAAAGTAGTGGAGGATAACGTACGGTGGAAAGCATTGAGTCGTCTATTTAGACAATGATCATTGGTATATAAATAAACAAATATATATTGATGAATTCATGAATGAATGTGCAGGTATGAAGAATAGGCAATCAGCAGCAGTAATGGAAGTCGTCCACAGGCACGGTCCATGTGGTGGCAAGAGTAGTCAAAGAAAAGCTATAAGCGCAGCCGACATCCTCCGCAAGGATCAATTAAGGGTGGAATCCATCAACAATCGTGGTGGTGGTGGTGCTGGTGCTGTTGGCTCTCCCCTCATCTCTGGCGATTCCCTAGATACGCTCAACTACATCGTCACCATGGGCCTCGGCACCCCACATATAAAGCAACATCTCATTTTTGACACCGGCAGCGACGTGACGTGGGCTCAATGCAAACCGTGCATTCGGAGCTGCTATAGCCAGCAAGGCCCATTATTCGACCCCAACAAATCCTCTTCCTACTCAATCATCCCATGCAATTCCCGTGATTGCTCTATCCTGGACTATCACAAATGCTCCCCACACAACAATTCTTGCATCTACGGCGTCGGTTACGGTGATGGATCCTATACCGAGGGCTACTGGAGCAAGGACACACTTACAATTGCATCCAAGGTGGCAGTCCCAGGTTTCATGTTTGGCTGTAGCCAACTCGCTGGGGGCCTTTTCGGACGTGTATCTGGACTCGTGGGCCTGGGCAGAAGCAAAGTTTCCCTACTTTCCCAAACTGCTAATAAATTTCATGAATGTTTCTCCTACTGCTTACCTCCCAACACATCCTCCAAAGGCTTCCTAGCATTAGGAAAAGATGTTAATTACGATAATGCCACCAAGTTCACGCCTTTGATTTTGAATCAGGAATACCCATCGTTCTACTTCATCGACATAGTCTCCATAGCCGTGGAAGGAAGCAACTTAACCATCGGTCCAGATGATTTTACGGGCGGCATCATCGTGGACTCAGGCACAGTGATAACTCGTCTCCCGCTGGACGTGTACAATTCGTTGAGCAGCAAAATCAAGGAGGTGATGATCAAAGAGTACAACTACAGCACTGCACCATCATATGATATACTGGACACTTGTTTTGTTGGCAAGGAAAAAGATAATGCCCCATCTATGTCCTTCACCTTTCAGAATAACGTGCAGGTTGATTTGGATGCTTCCAACACATTTTATGCTGTCAACGAATCTCTAATATGTCTCGCTTTCGCTGGGAATACAGACCCTACCGATTTCACCATTTTTGGCAACTGGCAGCAAAAGACATTCGAGCTCGTGTACGATGTTGCCGGCGGGAGATTAGGGTTCCGCCGAGGCATGTGTGCTTGACTGCTTTCCAAATATGCTCATCATTTAACCTCTCACGTGACTCTTCTAAGGGCTCATTTAGTTGCAACCATATATAATGTGTCCTCACCTATTTCCTCTTTTATTTTTATTTTTCTTTTCTCTTTAATTTCGGTATGTTCATCTCCTCTCGTTGTAAGGGTTATATGCAAGAATAAAAGCTTAGTCATATTTACTTGTTTATTACTATTTTATTTCTTTAATTACTGCAGCTTGAAATCTATATCTATTTATATCTATCTCTATAAAAATTAAAAAGGCGAATTGAATACTTTTGTAAATAATTACACGAACTAGAAAAGAAAATCTTATATATATTTGATATATTTTAGTAGCAAAATTGTAATGTACATAATTTAACTAAAAAATTAAAGAATCAATTTAAATGACGAATTAAGTCTTCAATAGAAGTTCGATAGAGCTGAACATCTATTGGTATATCCAACTTCAGTTGCACATAATACATAAAACCACATCTCCCTCTATCTTATAAGAAAACCATACAACCCCTTTGTTGGCCGCCACGTGGCAGCATTCTTTGCTCTCCATTTGAGCCTAAACGACGTCGTTGGGGACTTATTTTTGAAACTGATTATATGCTTCTTTTTGCCAATGCAAGGGCAGCCTGTCTAACGTGCACGTGTACTTTTGAGGGGAGCCCCTTTATATTATCAAACGACGGCAACAAAATCTTCTGCACGCAACAAAATCTTCTTTTTACCCACTCCCCTTTTCTATCATTTCCAAGAGAGAATACTGGCTGTTCAATCTCATTAGGTAAAATGAAAAGATCTTCTAGGTCAACATCTTCAACTCCGAAGCCGCCCTAGCCTCCCTCCTCAACCTCTCCTCCTACGCCGGCAACATCCACGGCTAACTCTTCGTTCATATCGCTGTCGCCACCACCATCCCACTCTCCGCGCCGGCACTGCCTCTCTCCTCACAACCTCTCCCTACACTTGTCGCCGCCTGGCGCCCCTCGTCGAAAAACATCCTCTGCCGCCTCAGGTACCAGTACAATTTGTTTAGCCCTAGCACTCGATTCCCGATGATGGTCTGTGAATTGAGGGGCTACGATGGCAGAGTATAACTCGGCCGACGTCAAGAACAATTTGAAGGATGAAGGTCATTCTTGAGTCAGTTTTGTGTCTACTTGACTTGATTTACTCTGGTATGAACCGACAGGCTAGCATGTTTATGTTTTTTGGAAAGAAAAATTTATTTTCTAGGATCTGGTATTGCATTGGTTTTCCTTGTGTGAGAACCGAACCGAAGATGTATTTGCCTGGATGAGTGAAAATTGAATTTACACAGGTTTCTAGAAAGGTGAGTATATTTTGGTCTGAGTATTTTGGAGGTTCTCAAACTCATTTTACGACTGTCTTAACTTTTTTTTTCCTTTTTTATAAATTTTTGTGACACTAATTTAAGGAGTTATGCATATATATTTTGAATAATTATATAGTCGGTTCCTCTTTGAATGTTAGGCTCAGATATATGATTGTCTTTGTCAAATTGGTGAGGGATACTATCTTTTGTACGAACGTATGGCCACCCGAAAGGGCTGCTAGAGGTGCTCCAAGAAGAAGGCAGCAACAAGAGTTCTCTAAAAGGCGCCACCCAAATTCAAACAGCAATCATAGGTCGAGGCGGCTGAGAGTGGGAAGAGTATAATCTCTGCATAAGTACGACTACGATCTACAATGCTTCAAAGGTGCATCTATTTATTTTCTTAGGGTTTTCATTTCTTTGATTATCCAAATTCACATATGATTTTGGATGATGAGCCGGCAATTACTAAAATTTTGTTTATAAAGTTTTATTTCCCATAATTTAACAAAATTAAGTACAATATCAAAATATTTATTATGTCTATGAACAAATACATTTTGCTTATACTAGATTTGTTGGCAGTTCTACTTCCATTTGGTATGTAGGCTTGAGGGGTAATTATTAGATTATGGAATTAATAGATGATTTTATGGTTTTGCTGCATTCAGACTTGCCTGGATTAAATCCAAGCAGTGGTTACAAGAGGGTCTGGTGTGCTCTGATAACACCCAGAATTCATGTCTTTAGCCCTTTACGTTACAGGAGGAAAGTGATAGCATGGTATTAAGTTATATGTTAAATTTGGTATCTTGGGCCGTTTCATAAATATGCACTTTCTTTATGTTGTTATATTTGATTCATAGGATGTGAAAGTTGAAATGGAGGACATTGATGAAGATGAACTGTGTTTGATATGAGATGGTGTCTATAAGATGAACTCGCTCGTAGTTACTTGGTACATTGATGATATACATGAATACTACATAAAGACTAAGGTTAGAATCATCTCTCCATTTTGCCTCTGAAGTTTGAGTGATTAAATCTCATTTGCTGATGATACCAATTATGTTACTATTTGAGTGTGTACAAAACACTAAATAAAAAAACCATCTCCAGCTCCTAAGTGGAAGGAACTCATTTTTTTCCTTAATAACTGAACCTGTCTCTGTGTGTGCTCATGCGTATGCTTGTCAAATTGCAGAGGAGAAGCTGTGTGCCACCAAACTACATGGCACATCAATCTGACATAAATGAGTTAATGAGGGGGGATCCTTATTGACCGGCTGATGGAGGTAAAAAAAAAAAAAAAAAAAATCTTAAAGTTCTGTTGAAATTCCTAAAACTGAAATCAAGCATTTTCCTTTTTCACTTTTTTAATGCTTTAGTGTCCTGATAATATTACATGCTTACATATATAGGTGCACTACAAAATCGAGTTCGTGCACGAGTCATTATATCTGATGGTGAGCATAATCAATAGATTCTTGATTGTGAAGACCATCTTTACGAAGAGCCTCCAGCTTGTTGGGGTTGCTGCTATTCTCATTGCCTGCAAGTATGAAGAGGTTTCGGTCCCCATCGTGGATAAACTTAGTTTCATATGGTACTTTCTCACCCAAATTATAAAAATAAAAAGAAATAAATAACATTGTTGTACTTTCTTGGTTGAACTTCCGTCGTTTTT